ACCGTCTTACAAAACCGCCGTCTCAGATCCTCTCTCAAACCGCCGTTTGAGATCGCATGCAACCATCTCAGATCCGTCTCGTGTTCCTCCTTCGTCCGCCGTCTCAGATCCTTCCTTTCAAAACCGCCGTGTCAAATCCTTCCTTTCAATCGGTATATGTTCTTCTCTCTAAGCTGATCCATTGTTCTTGCTTATTTTGTTTTGATCGATTCGTTTTCCGTGTCATGAGATCATTGTTTCATGTTTATATTTACAAGTTTCGATTAGATTGCGGTTTGAGAGATGTTTGACATTTTCGATTCCTTTTGCATGTGTAAGTAAAGTTGTATATGGATTTGGAAGAATGATTAGCATCATTGGGCAAGAACAGTTTCAGACAATCAGCCCTGGTGAGTTCGTTCATCTGAACATTGATCTGTACACTTGTTATCAATTCTAAAAGACTCTAGTTTGAAGATTGTGTGAAAACCGGTTTATTGATTTGTACACTGATCTATTTTTGATCTGTTCACATTGCTAGAAATGATTTGGTTTTATCAGTGAGAGATAAGCTTGAAATTATTTGGTTTTGTCATTGAGAGATAAGCTAGAAATGATATGGTTTTGATCTGTTCAGATTGTGTAGATAGAGTTCAAGACTTGATAAATTCTTGCTTCAGATTGAGTTAGATAGATTGCTTGGTTCATCTGTTTTTGATTTGTTCACATTGGTAGACTGTACATTGATGGTTTTTGTTCTTATTTGCTGTTCATTGAGTAGTTGAGTAGCTCATTAAGTAGTTGATGGTTTTTGTTGAGTAGTTGAGTAGCTCATTAAGTAGTTGATGGTTTTGTTCTGATTTATTGTGCATTGAGTAGTTGAGTAGCTCATTAAGTAGTTGATGGTGAAGTACATTTAGTTACAAATGTACTTGTAATTTAGTTATAACATTAAAGACAAAGTGAAATCAAAACTGATTACAACTTAACTAAGTTACAAAAGTGAAGRAAATATAATTCAAGTAAACTAAAACTTAATGGTAATTGATGAATTGATGGTGATAGAGACATCAGCCAGCTGCAAAAGTCTCTTAAAATACACAAATAAAAATGAAAATTAATAAAACAATTAACAAAAAATTTAAAAATTAGGTAGCTCATTAACTGATGAGCATGGCTTTATAATGAAGCCATATCTCTGTTGAGCAGAACACAAACCTAGCTTAGATCCTCTCAAAACTTCTGTTTACGTTCATTATCCACTGTCTTTGCTTAGTGAAATGGATATGGATTTTACCATTCCATTGGCA